GTTATATATATATATGTATATGTATGTATGTATTTGAAGGGTGGAGACTGACAGCAAGATGAGAAGAGAAAGGGTGGTGGGCAGAGAGATCTTCCATATATGTATTCACTTCCCAATTAACCAAAACAGCCAAATCCACGCCAGAACAAAGTCAGGCACCAGAAACTCCATCCCGGTCTCCTGTGTGAGTGACAGGAGCCCAAGCCCTTGGCCTAGCAGCTGCTGCTTTCCCAGGTGCTAGTCCGGAAGCAGGAAGCTGATCTGGAAGCAGAGTAGTAGGGCTTGAACCACTGCTCTGATGAGATGCCGGCATTACCAATGGTGGCTAACCCTGCTACAGCACAACACTGGCCTCTGCAAGCAAAACTGAATAAAGGCTGGGGACACTCACAGTGTCCTCCCTGTCGCTCCCCTCCCCTCCATTCCTCTCCTCTCTGTCCTCTGGCCAGAAAGCTTACACACTCCATTTCAAAAGTCCAAGCTGTTTTTCTTCCCGATTCAGATTTGGCTGCAGGGAGCATCCCAAGGAACACAGCCATCCAAAAGCTGCCGCTTGCCCAGCTGAGGAGCCCTGGGGAGGCCAGGCGGGCTTCTGTTTCCTGGAGAGCTGCTTGCCTCCAGTCCGCCCGGCTCCGGGAGAACATAGAGTGCTTCACAGCTGCACAAGGACAGGCATTCAGGCTCCTGAACAGTAAGGAATTCACGGGGAGCAGCCTCTCCTGCGCCTGAAACCATTGCTGCTTTGGCTGCAACAGGGGAGTGCATCTCTGGGCTGCTTCTTACCAGACCCAGGTCAGCTCCCCAGGCAAGTTTAAGTTGGCCTGCGACACAGGCCTGCGGGAGGGAGGCTCAACAGAGCTGGTGTGTCAGCAGGTAGGGGCTGAATCACCACTGTGTCCAGGAAGTCCAAGATTAAAGTCTAGTTCATACGATTATGTAACAATGACACTGGCCAAACAACATATCCAGGCAAACAAATGTGAAATATTTTTGGTGGAGAATACAATGGGGACACAAAGCTTGTATTTATTATAAGATTTATGGGAATGGCAAGCAAGACCACTTCTGTAGAAGCTCTTAAATAATCATTTAGAAATTTGCACTGAGGAGCAAGGAAACGGAATTCTCATGAACTAGAAGCTTCTGTCAACAGTCATGACCACTTTGTCTGGAAACTGATGGAATTCAACAACTAAACTACTATCCAAACCAGACAGAAGCATAAATCCACACAAAGAAATCCAGATGCCAGTTATGGTAACTACACACACACACACGTATGGAAAGTCAGCAGGACCAGTGCTTTTGGAGCAGCACGACCTGCAATATGGGATTTCTCATCTGTGAGCCAGTCTGAGTCCTAGCTGCTCCACTTCCCACGTGGCTTCCTGCTGACAGCCTGGGAGAACAACAAAAGATGGCCCTGCACCCCCCTGGGAGACCTGGAAGAAGCTCCTGGCTCAATTCAGCCTGGCCCAGCCCAGCCATTGCAGCAATTTGGGGGATCAGCACATGGGAAAACATTTTTTTAACTTATCATTTTTATTTTATTTTTATTGCAAAGTCAGATATAACTCATATTTGACCTTTTAAATAGTGTCTTTCAATTATTGAATACTTTTTTTTTAACTTGACCCAACTCTGCTTCCAGCTTTTTGTTTTGTTTCTTCCTGGTGACAAGAAATATCTTCCAATTCTGAGATTCTTTCTTCTGCCTCCTTCATTCTATTTTGGAGACTCTCCACTGTACTTTTTTTTTTTTTAAGATTTACTTATTTCTATGCAAAATCAGATATACAGAGAGGAGAGACAGAGAGGAAGATCTTTTGTCCTGTGACTCACTCCCCAAGTGACCACAATGGCCGGGGCTGCACTGAACCAAAGCCAGGAGCCAGGAACTTCCTCCAGGTCTCCCACACTGGTGCAGGAATCCAAGGCTTTAGGCCATCCTTGACTGCTTCCCAGGCCACAAGCAGGGAGCTGGATGGGAAGTGGATCCGCTGGGATTAGAACTGGTGCCCATATGGGATCCCAGAGCATTCAAGGCGAGAACTTTAGCCACCAGGCCACAGCACTGGGCCCTCCACTGTATTCTTAATTTGATATATCAGCTTTCATTTGATTTTCTGTGTAACACATTCCTTAAATTTCTTGAACTCCTGTCACGTGCTTCTCATTATTGATGTGTTCTAACAAGTGTTTTGAATTCTGTATTTCCCATTTTCTCTGTTAACTCTGAGGTTGGCACAGGGTTTTGCTCCTTTAAGAGGAGTCTTCAGTAACATTCACTGTGCCTCTGTCTCCTCTTTTGCTCTTGGTCGTTGTACTTCTGCTTAGGGCTGGTTTCTAAGCTGTATCACCCACAGGTCTACAATTCAATTTTACCTATTGCAGTTGGTGCATGGCTCTTGGCAGACACTTATGCCACTCCCTCCAGCAAGCTCCAGGTCTGGGTTCTTGTTAGGCTTCTACCATGGTCTTGGTAGCCCCAGCTCCTGGCTCACCACTCTCCACCTCCTGTGATCCCGTGCTGACGCTGCACTGTTGTCTGTACAACCTTTCTGTTCGAGCAGTTCCCAGGACTTGGGAGACACCAGGTGTCCTGTGTAACTAGGTTGTTGTTGGTGCTCTTGCTGGAAGCTGTGGCTGTTACGTCTGAGGGCCACACAGACCTATTTTGACCCGTACAATGCCACAGATGGTATTATTTTCCTGTGGGACCAGTGCAAGGCACTGAGCTCAATGAGTTCTCGCCAAGGTCAGTGCACGTGCAGCTCAGTTGTCCCTGCAGTCTTAAATTCTTTGCTGTTAGAAATGGAGCCTGATATGCCACTACTGAAGTTTTTGATCTGCTGGCCGTCAGGTCTGAGGGCTACCCGGACCTGTCTTGGGTGGAAACTGTAGGATGCCATGTTATTCTAGTTCACCAAGTTAGAAATTAGTTCATTCTCAGCTCAATGCATGCACAGTCCTATCCCACAGCCTTTGTCTCTCTAGACAAAATGGTGCCAAACTTGGCTCTAGGGGCTGGGCTGGGCTGTGAAATCCACTCGTTCCTGTACCACCCATCTGGGATCTGCCACTCCGTCTCTGCTCCTGGTCAAACCAAACAGACCAGCAGGACAAGCAGTTCTTTGGGTTCACCTCCAGAGATCTTGGGTAAACTCCCTTCCCACCTATGTTTTGGCTTAGAAGATAGCATTTTGACAAATTTCTCAGGTCTACTTGTCTTGGAATTCCATCCCTTCTCCTGCCACTCTCACCACCCAAGTCTTCCTGGGCTGGTGTGGTGAGAGGTTCGACTTAATCAATCTTGCATTGCATAAAAATTCTTTATGAGACAAGAACCAAGGCTGCCCTCTTAGGTCAGTTTCTTCTAATAATCTGAAGGTGATGCAATAGCCCAGGACTGAAGAGTCCCAGCTTGGTGACTGTCCTTGGTACACAGGGCACATTCAAAGGGCTCTCTCCTGACTGGCAAGATTTCACTGGACAAATGTGCTTAGGTCTCCAACATAATCAGCGATACAAGCAGTTTATCTGACATCTAAGTCCCTTAAAGTCTCTTAAGCTTAAATTTGTAGTAAAATGAATACTGCCTTGGGAATGCAAGAATTATTTCTTTTCTTATACAACTTTACATATGAACATTCACGCTTCCTTAGTATAAATACATGCTTTCTAATACTACAAAAAGTAACTTACATAAATTGTTGGGCTTGGTGTGATGGCCTAGTGGCTAAATCCTAGCCTTGCATTTGCCAGGATCCAATATGGGCACCAGTTCATGTCCCAGCTGGTCCACTTCCCATCCAGCTCCCTGCTTGTGGTCCGGGAAAGTGGTGGAGAACAGCCCAAAGCCTTGGGACCCTGCACCTCCATAGGAGACCTGGAAAAGGTTCCCAGTTCCTGGCTCTGGACTGACTTAGCTTTGGCTATTGCAGCCACTTGGGGAGTAAACCATGAGATAGAAGATCTTTCTCTCTGTATCTCCTTTTCTCTGTACGCCTGCCTTTCAAATTAAAGTGAAATCTTTAAAACATAAATTGTCATAATAATTATAAATAAATATGGAGCTCATGAAGGTAAAATAGAAACTTTTTTCAGTGTCCCTATTTATTTCCCATATACATGCAATGGATGCCATCACCCACCCCTGAAGGCTGGTGTTATGAGGTTTGATTAGAACACTAAACTGTATCAAACAGCACAGTATGTGGCACAGGGGAGCGTATATAGGGTTGCCATGCTGCCTGTGTTGCCTCATGGTTAGCCTACAAAGAGTTGCCACAAAACCTGCCTTCTGCAAGTGTGAGCTATGACAGAATCTTCAATTCCTTAGTTATCCTATGGGCAATGTAACTGCTGCCTTGTATAATTTCATTAAATGATCAGGACTCTTGTTTTACAACACATCTCATTAAGCTACTTGCGGCAGTCTCCTGTCTCCTGTGAACTGCCTGATGCTCCTCGCTAGCTGTAGCTGGGGAGCGGGTCAATCACCCTGGCAGACAGCTGCAGAGCGCTGCCGGAACACTCAGTTCAGTCACCTGCTTTTGGAAGCCAAGCACCCACCCTCATGTCCCCTTTCTTAGTTCTTGCCTGACAAACTTCCTGCTTGGAGTATGTTAATGCTCTTTCTTGCTTTAGCAGGACTGGATTATAATCTACTAACCATGGCATATGTTTTCAAGTTGGTCTTTGCTGAGAAGTGCCACTGGCACTGGCATACTGGACGCACACCAAGTCAGCAGTGCTCTTCTCCACAATAATGTGACGCTTTTTTGGTATTTGATAATCAGCACTTCTACAACAAAGTGCACATTCAGAATCTCATATTTGTAATTAGAAAATTTTGTACTTGAACACTACATTAGACATCATCATGCTTTTAGAATATATTTTTTATCTAAGATTCATCTGAGTACAGTTTGTGAACCAGTGAGAAACATTTTTAAATTTTAACAAAAACATGATACCAAATTTAAGAATGATATAGCTCAAGATATTGTTCATTTTATTTAACAAATCAATTCCCAACAGTCTTAAAAAATGAAAAAACCATAATTTGCTTTAAGCTATGAACCAGACTGTGAATAACCACCCCACCAAGAACGTGTCGTGAGGGTCTTTAATGACATGAAGAGATCTAGTCGTAGTTTTGCACCATCCCCTTGTCTTTCCACAGCTCTCCCCTCAGATCTACAGCATTCCACCTGTCCTCACTCAGCCCAGCCTTGCCTTCCTTCCAGTTTATTGGGAAAACGCAGTCACAAGAGACTTCCATCATCCACGTCCACCTTCTCCACCCACGAGTGTCTGTCGTACGTTCCAACGGCTGCGGCATCTTGGTGACAATCAGCCCCTTCACTTGCACAGTGGATTTCCGGCCCTCTGTATCATCATTGAAGAAACTGCACAGCATCACCATGGCACAAAAGGGCGCCTTCATCGAGCAACCTTGTAAACTGCTTCGAATGGCCAGTGCTGGAAGAGCTCTGAGAGGACAGGCATCGGCACGCCTCACTCTACAAGCCACAGAAGGAAAGAGGGCAGCGGCATTAGCTTGTGGACAGTCACCTGTGGCTGGCCCTGCTCCCCTGGCTCTCTCCAAAAACCCCTGCAGCACAAAAATCCAAAATGAATTAAACATTCTTCTGGGAATGTGAAAAACACTTTCAACCAAAATTCAAAAGTCAAGACTACAAATGAGCAAAAACATGTAGGTAATGAAACAAAGAGCTCAGAAACATCAGAAATGATACAAGAAAAAAAAAATCATGTCAAAATAAGAATACAAGAAAAAACAGATTGGAAAATTTAAAAGTCAAAGAGGAGCAGTGTGCCTACTGAGGAGTCTGGAGCTTAACGTCCAGTGAGAAGGGGAGATTAGTATTTGTCAGGTTAATAAAGGAAAAATTACAGGATCGTCTCAATAGATGAAGAAAATGCATCTGACAAAATCCAATACCCATCCACGAGAAAAATCTTCAACATGCCAAACAGGAGAGACTCCCCCAAATTAACAGCACACTCACAACAAAACAACTGCTGACATCACATAACGGTCAGACCCTGAACTATCCCGCCTTGCACTGACACAGGCAACATTTTCTATTTGTGTTCACTTCTACTCTGCCTTGCATAAGTGGTTCTAGCCAACGAAATCTGGCAGAAAGAAAAAAAAGAAGAAGAAATAAAAGGCATCCAGATGAGAATGGGAGATAATTACTATGTGGAATACACACACAACCAGAATTTACTATAATAAATTAGTTTAGCAAAGTCCTGGCCTCAGCCTGCCTTGCTGTTGGAGCCATCTGGGGGTTACAGATGGAAAATAGCTCTCTCTCTCCATCTAATTCTGTAACAAATGAAAAAGTCTTAACACACACACACCCCAAACCCAAACCAAAACAGTGCTGAAAATAAGTACTTCCACTCACTGAGATGCCTCAAACAGTAAAAAAAAAAAGCCACACATTTCTCACCAAGGATGACATCAAGAACATCAAGAATATATAGTCAGTATATAACAGACAACCACATCAACAGAAACACAAGCAAAAGACATTAACAGGCATTTCATCAAAGTCAAAATTCAAGGGTCTATGGGCTTAAAAGGTATGTTATGCTTAATGGAAATAAAGCTCAAGATGCCATTTTTACATCCACTAAATTGATTAAAAAGAAATAAAATCAAATTTCTTAAGAACTGTTACCACAAACTAGTGACAAGTTTGAAACAACAGTAGGTTTATACAATTTGCAGTAAACAGCAGTATAAATAACTTAGAAATATCATTTAAAATGGATAAAGCAACTCTATTCCCTGCTGTAAAGATTAGATAATTCATGCAGGTTTATGCCATGAGTCATCTATGAATATTTATAATAGAAGTCTCTATTTAAAATAAAAATATAACCTAATATCCATCAATAGAAAAGCAATAAACTACAACATAATCACAGGATGAAATACCATACAGGAATAAAATTCAATGAGTCACAGCTACATGAATGAAACTTAGAAGAATGACTGAAAATAGGATACGAAAAATGAAAACACAAGCTAAACTGATCAGACTGCTTAATAAATTACACACGTCTGATAAATCTACAAAGAGGAAAATAAAATGTCGATGGGTCAGCACCGACAGGAGAAGCAGGTGGTGGCGGGCTGCGTATCAGCGAGGAGAAAAACAAGGACCACAGAAGCAGCCCCAAGGAGGCCGCCACCCCGATTCCGGCGAACGCAGAAAACAAAAGGAACATGGTATAGTCTAATTTTACCTTTTCTTGTCTACGTTATTTACATTATTTCTTTTCAGCATCCAAAACCTAATGTTGAGGAAAAAAAAATTACAATCATTTTGTGAATAGTTTACTCTGCCTTAGATTTCGTTCAGGCACACTCTCAACGATTCCTGTAACATCCTCATCTAGTAATACTTACTAGCAGAAGAACTGAAAAACTAGTTCTGCATGTTATTTTCCATATATATATTCATATTTTATATGAAAATGAACACATTTTAACTTCTAGCTCCACCGTTACCCGTTATTTTTCCTCCAGAAAAATCTAGAAAAAAGCATTTTTGACTTTCCAATATTTACACATGTTTACAGGAACTTCAGCCACAAGATGGTGTGTCTGGTTTTAAAATAAATTGCAAAGCACCTCAATTTTAAGAGATGATTTCCAACTTATATATAGGAAATGAAAGAATATAAATTACTCCAGTTTGTCCATAATCTCCTCTCAGAAATGCACAGAATATTTGAGGAAAGCACTATGAAATTACCACTCCACTATTTTCTAAAATGTTTATTAACTCATGACAATTTTCCTCCTAATAGTCATTGTAATACAAGATTCTTCACATTTGGTTTACTTTTCTTTGTTTAGCTTAGTTACTAAAAAACGTTAATAACTCTACTGAAGGTTTTTAAGAACATTCCAATTTATACCAGCAATGAATATAAATCTTCCCAAACAAAGGTTAACACATATAAAAGTTATTTTCCAAACTGAATAAACTTCTCAGTTGCAAAAGTCCTGACGGTCCCATGTCAGCCCGGGAGGCACTCTCCTCCAGCGCTCCTCTGTAACTCACACACTGTTCAGGAGCGAACCAAAGGCTCGCTCACACTGTACTCACTCTGGCCAGGAGCTCCCGTGTCTCGTCCGTCAGTGGAGCATGTGAAAACTTGCAGTACTCTCCCTGATAGCACTTTGTTCCTGTGTGGTAAAACTTGCAAGGATATTCATGTAATCCGAATGTTAAGAAAGAGAACATTTCAATGCTGCTAAAATAATTTGCTATTAATGACCTTATTTTTCCTACATAAAGATTTTTCCTAATAGTAGAAATACTGAATAATCATTGGGTGAAAAAAAAAAACCTAATAAAAACAGGAAGAACATAATTTTAGAAAGATTCCATACTTCAAGTTTACTGACACTCATCTCCTTCACATCCATTCTCATATTAAACTAGGGGTGTGCGATACAAAAGGGATACACACACACACACACACACACACACACACACACACACACAAGATTCATTTATTTTTATTGGAAAGTCAGATTTACAGAGAGAAGGGGAGATGGAGAGAAAGATCTTCCATCCACTAGTTTACTGCCCAAGTGGCTGCAATGGCCGGAGCAGAGCTAATCCGAAGCCAGGAGCCAGGAGCTTCTTTTGGGTCTTCCATGAAGGTGCAGGTCCCAAAGCCCTGAGCCGTCTTCCACTGCTTTTCCAAGCCACAAGCAGGGAGTCAGAAGGTAAATGCAGGAGCTGGAATATGAACTGGTGCCCATATTGGATCCTGGGATATATATTTTTTAGATACCTCAAGAAATGTGATTATTTTGTGTGGGGAATTCAAAGTTGATAAAAATGGTATGTCTTGCAATCTGAACCCTCCAAAAATTATTATTGTGTAAAATAACTTAAATGTATACAACTTTAATATCTAGGGAAAAAAACCATCTTCAAGCTAACATTTGAGGCTTCTAGGTTGAATGATTTAAGAAAAACAATTTTGGGCCTGGCACAACACCTCAGCAGCTAAATCCTTGTCTTGCATGCACCAGGATCCCATGAAGGTGCCAATTCGTGTCCTAGCTGCTCCACTTCCCATCCAGCTCCCTGTTTGAGGCCTGGGAAAGCAGCAGAAAATAGCCAAAACCCTTGGGACCCTGCACTTGCATGGGAGACCTGAAAAAGGCTCCTAGTTTTGCATCAGCTCAGCTTTAGCCATTGTGAACACCTAGAAGTGAACCAGCAGGTGGAAGATCTTTATCTCTGTATCTCCTTCTCTCTGTACATCTGTCTTTCCAATGAAAATAAATAAATCTAAAAGAGAAGAAAAAACTTCTTGCAAAGATCAAAGGTGCTATTTCACTCTTAAATGTTAATGCTCCGGGCCCGGCAGCGTGGCCTAGCAGCTAAAGTCCTCGCCTTGAATGCGCTGGGATCCCATATGAGCGCAGGTTCTAATCCTGGCAGCTCCACTTCCCATCCAGCTCCCTGCTTGTGGTCTGGGAATGCAGTCGAGGATGGCCCAAAGCTTTGAGACCCTGTACCTGTGAGGGATACCGGAAGAGGTTCCTGGATCCTAGCTTTGGATTGGCATAGCATCGGCCGTTGCGCTCACTTGGGGAGTGACTCATCGGACGGAAGATCTTCCTCTCTGTCTCTCCTCCCCTCTGTATATCTGACTTTCCAATAAATAAATAAATCTTTAAACAAAACAAAACAAAAATGTTAATGCTCCATGTTAAGGTTAGTTTTCAAACTAAGAGACAATTATCCTTCATACAGTACAGAAAACAAGTACTCTGAAGTTAAGCAAGCTCTGCCTTGTCCCTTTTATTTTTATCAAGTAGCTCATATGAAGATGGATTTGATTAGCAGATATAACAGAAGGGATTTTGATACAATCTTTCTGGGACTTGAATAGATCTCATGAATCCACTTACGCCACCCAAACTGAGCAGAAATTATGGTGAGAGGTTTTACTTTTTTTCTTTTTTTAATGGCAAAAAAAAATTAAGTATAATCTAACCACTGTGGGGGTAAGTTGGTTTTGGAGAACACAATTCTGCTAAAACTATAATACTGTTTCACCAAGAATTCTGCATACTTAAAATGTCCATGTAAACAAAGAGCAAAATTATTGTATCATGTGATAAAGGATATTATGCAAAAACAGACAGTTTTCACCTCTGGTACAATAGCCTTGCACATAAAATTTACACATCATCTTTTTCTTCTCTATTTCAGCATCGTGGTCAAATTTACATTGGTCTCCCTGGGTTACAAGAAAGTTAGATAAGTCATTCAGATGCAATTCATATTAAACTTGAAATAAAATGATCTCAGAAAGAGACAGAGTCTTAAACTTTAGTTCTTAATAAGTTACCTAATAACCAAATCATACATTTGTTTAAAATATAAAGTCCTAAATATTTATAACACAAAACATTTTTTAAATCATCTACTTCTTTCAACATAAAATATTTTACTAAAATATACTGATAGAACTTCTACCTACAGGTATAACTTAAAGAGTGGCAAATGGAAATAATGGTTTGAGTATATTTCTGCTATATGGTTACCTTTTAGCATATTTTTGCTTACAAAGTTGTATACCTTAATACACTTCCTTTCAAGAAAATATTTGCAGATCTGTCTTCCCTCGCGCATCACAGTATGCTGGTTGATGAATCCCTGACTCATGACGGGCTGCCGCTTCTCCTTAGGCTTATCATCCTTCAAAGGCAAAAACACCCAATGTGAGAAACAGAAAATTACGTATTTCACTCTGCTGCACAAAATTATTTTAAACTGCCATTACCAACATTCAAAAGTGACCTTTTTAAAAAAGATTATTTGAAAGGCGGATTTATAGAGAGGAGAGACAGAAAGATCTTTCAACTGCTGGCTCACTCCTCAAATAACGGCAGGAACCAAAGCTGAGCTGGTCCTAAGCTGGGAACCAAGAGCTTCCTCCCATGTGGGTGCAAGCTCCCAAGGCTTTGTGCCATCCTCCTCTGCTTTCCCAGGAAGCTGGATGGGAAGTAGAGCAGCTGGGACACCAATTGGTGTCCACAGGGGATGCCAGCACTGGCAGGGGGAAAAAAATCAGCCTATTCAACCACTGCACCAGCCTCTGAAAGTGACTTCTAAACTGGTTTTCATGTGCACACTTTAGACTTCTGTACCTCAACTTTAAAATGAATGCTTTGCTGATTTCAACAGCATTGCATCACTGATTATTAATGTTATTAAAAGAAAAAACATAAAAGAACAAAAACAACAATTTAGATGAAAGTGACAATATTTTGTGATAAAAAGCAAAATCTAGCAACAAGTTATAAATACACATATATAGGTGGCTGGCACTGCAGTAAAATAGATAAAGCCATCACCCGTGATGCCAGCATCCCATCTGGGCACCAGTTCAAGTCCCAGCTGCTCCATTTCCCATCCAGCTCCCTCTAATGTGCTTGGAAAAGCAGTGGAGAAAGGCTCAAGTGCTTGGGCCCCTGCACCCACATGGGAGACCCAGGTGAGGCTCCGGGCCTTGGCCTGACTCTACCCTGATATTCAGTCATTTGGGGATTAAAATGGGATCAATTTTTCTCTCTCTGACTCACCCTCTCTGTAACTCTTTCAAATAAGTAAATAAATCTTTAAAATAATGGAGACAAGGCTAGAAATCATAGGATTATCCAAAAGCAGTCAAATTTATAGTTTTAATAAGATGCTCAGCTACATGTGAGCTGAGTATATTGACCATCTCAAAATAAAACCAACTGGACATACGCCCTGAAAGGTTATGACTAAGGGTTGGAAATAACATTCCTCATGTTTTAAGCTGTCATCCTCAGAACTTCTAATATCTTACCCTGTTTTCTGTGACCACTGCTATAGTGAAACGGTACTCTCCAGAGAAGCAGGTTCCTGAGCAGTCACTTGTCACCCTACTATGATCACAGACTAACAAACATTTTTTAAAAAAGATGAATTGGGTCTGGCACAGTAGCCTAGCTAGTCTTGCATATCCCGGGATCCCATATGGGCACCAGGTTCTGGTCCCAGCAGACCCACTTCCCATCCAGCTCCCTGCATGTGGTCTGGGAAAGCAGCAGGAGATGCTCCAAGTCCTTGGACTCCTGTACCATGTAGGAGACTAGCAGAGCCAGAAGAAGCTCCAGCTTTCTGCTTTCAGTCTGGCCCAGGTCTGGCCACTGTAACCATTTAGGGAGTGAACCAGCACATTGAAGACAACTCTTGCTCTCTAACTCTTCCAAGTTAGTAAGTAATTGGACGGAAGCTGCAGCAGCAGCAATAAAACAGAAAGAGTTCACCACTGGCAGCGAGGGCAGACCTGCACCATTCAGCGACTCTGGATGGCTGGGATGTTCCCACTGCACAGCATCACACTGCATTTGTCACCGAGGCCTAAGATTAAAATCCAGAAGCAAAGCCTATGTTCTTGTACCTCTTCCTGGGAGCCCTTTTTCCTTGGCAAGCCGTTGGACCCTTTGTTTCCAGTGTCAGACCATTTTCGCTTCATTTTCTTCTGTTTACCATTCTTTTGACCAGCTTTAGATTTCTTATTTTTCTGCTTAGTAGCTGAAAACAAGAAAGTTAATTTAAAAAATGACATAGCATTTATAGTATCAGTTTAAGAAGTACATATTATAATAATTCAGGAAAAATTCTACACCTCTATGGATGAAAACTGACATGATACTGAACTTTCTGGATTAAGGTACTGAGAAATATGGAGTAGGCATCAAGACGCAGCCAGGTAAGCTATCATTTGGAACGCTCCAATATCCCATATATGAGAGTGCTGGTCCAAGTCCTGGTTGTCCTACTCATGATCTGTTTCTCAGCTAATGCACACGAGCAGGCAGCAGATGAGGCCTCCAGTGCCCGAGTCCCTGCCTCCCATATGGGAACCCCCATAGAGGCTTTGGGCTTCAGCCTGATTTGACCCACCCCTGGCCACTTTAGCCATCTGATGAGTGAACCAGTTGATGGAACATCCACCTCTCTTGCAAACAAATAATCTTTAAAATTTTTAGTTTCATCGGAAAGGCAGATTTACAGAGAAAAAGAGACAAAGTTCTTCCAGCTGCTAAGCCAGGAGCCTCCTCTGGATCTACTATGTGGGTGCAGGGTCCCAAGGCTTTGGGCCATCCTCTACTGCTTTCCCAGGCCACAACCAGGGAGCTGGATGGAAAATGCAGCAGCTGGAACACAAACTGGTGGCCATTTGGGATCCCAGTACTTTCAAGGCACTTGTAAAGCAAAACTGAGCCATAGAACCATCATGCCGGGCCCAGTAAGTTTTGTTTTTCTCTTTCAAAGAAACAGGGAAGAATATTAAACGAGAGCAGTGGGGTGGGCATTTAAGCCAGCTGGGCAGGCTGCATCCTACATTAAGAGTGCCTGGACTGGTTCCTGGCTCTGACTCCTGACTCCAGGAGCTTTTGCAGGCCACGGAAGGCAGTGATGGCTGTGGTGATCAGATTCCTGTCACTACGTGGGAGACCTGGACCAAGTTCCCAGCTTTTGGATGCTGCAGACACCTGAGGAACAAACTTGAGGATGGGAGCTTTCTCCATCTTGCATTCTCTCTTTCTGAATCTCTGTCTCTCATCCAAAGATTAAAAAATAAATAAAAAAACCCCTTCAAATATGAGAATAGACCTTTTTTTTAAAGCTTTACTTATTTTTATTAGAAAATCTGATCTTACAGAGAAGGAGAGACAGAGAAAGATCTTCTTTCCACTGGTTCATTCCTGAAGTAGCTGCAACGGTAAAAGATTAGCCCATATAGGACAGGAATGTCTTTCAGTACTCCCATGCAGGTGCAGGGTCCCAAGGCTTTGAGCTGTCCTTGACTGCTTTCCCAGGCCACAAGCAGGGAGCTGGATGGGAAGTGGAGCAGCTGGGATGTGAACTGGCACTCATATGGGATCCTGGTAACTAAAAGTAGAGAACTTTAGCCACTAGGCTACTGCGCTGGGCCCAAGATTTCTATTTTTTAATGGTCAATTGCCCTCATATTTATGACTACAACACAATCTTGTAATGTGAAAGGATATATTCCTGGGCCCAGAGCGGGAGCCTACTGCTAAATCCTCACCTTGCATTCACCAGGATCCCATAGGAACACTGGTTCGGTTCTAGTCCCAGCTGATTCACTTTCATCCAGCTTCCTGCTTGCTGGCCTGGGAAAGCAGCAGAGGGTGCCCCAAAGCCTTGGGACCCTGCACCCATACAGGATCCCCTGAGAAGCTCCTGGTTCCAGGCTTTGGGTTGATTCAGCTTTGGCTGTTGTAGCCACTTTGGGAGCGAACCAGAGGATAGACAATCTTTCTCCCTGTATCTCCCTTTCTCTGTATATATGTCTTTTCAATGGAAAGAAAATTTTCCAAAAATATATATATATACTTCTGAGTTATAGCTGATAAAACAATCTCTTTCCGTCAATTCCTCATCAAATGACAGCACACAAGTAGGACATTGTCCATGCCACATGAAAGGAGCTAGCATTCTCTCTATATATAAGTGGCCACGGCCTTTGATAAGCTTTTGTCTCCTGCAACTGGTGGGTGAGCATTTACACAGCAAATGGCTAGGTCTCCGGCCGTGTCATCTGGTGGGTGAACATTTACACAGCAAACGGCTAGGTCTCCGGCCGTGTCATCTGGTGGGTGAGCATTTACACAGCAAACGGCTAGGTCTCCGGCCGGGTCATCTGGTGCAAGGATCCAGAGAAACCACTACGTCATCCCGAGGCACAGTGCAGCACGACAGTCTGGCTCTTACCTTGCTGGGCACCGTTCGCTCCCTCCTCTGCCACGGAGTGCTCGGGAAGGGCTAAGGACTGGGTGGCACTTGCCATCTCTTTAGCCTTTATGTACTGCTGAAGCTCCTGGGCAAAAGTATCTTCCGAGTCCTGAGCGCAGATATCGTCATCACTGTACGTATCATAGTCCTTACTTCTGGATTTTATACGTAACGGTTTCTTTGGTGGTGATGTAGAGTTTCCAAAACGCTTAACCTAAGGAAAAAAATAATTTCTCAATTTAAAAAAACATAGCGTGACTAAAAATAATCTGGCTATAATGAAAAACAACACTGGCCATAAAATAATCACTGTTGAATTTGGGGTGCCTACATAGGATTTGTGTACTAATCCTCCTCCTCTTGTATTTGAAAATTTTGAGTTAAAAACAAAGAACAAAAAAACAGCATGATATACCTGCTTGAGATATGTACTTTGTTTGCATTTTACATTAAAGTCCAAACTTTTTAACTACCTGATAAAACACCAAGTAAATATAAGTGGTGCAACTGAAAACCCCTTACATTTATGCTGTCTCACAGCTGCCAAGCCAACACTTTGTGAGCTCACGGCTGTGCTCCGAGAAGGAAGAAAGACCTGCCCAGTTCCCTAAGTTAGGCTGACTTCGCTTTCACATCTAGTTTTCCAACTCTGCTGCTGACAGTGTCCCCAGGCCACTGTGGGGAACCAGAGAACCCAAGCACCCAGTGGAAGAGAAACTCAATACAGCTAAGGACAGCTACTTCCGCATAATATAATTGATTATACTTGTCCACACATGGTGACACAGGCTTATCAAGATACATAATCATGATCAGTAGGCATGTTACATTTTAAACAAAAAGCTTTAAAAAAAAATTTATTTATTCTTATTGTAAAGTCAGATTTACAGAGAAGATGATCTTCCGTCCGTTGATTCACTCCCCAAGTGGCCACAACAGCCAGAGCTTCCTCCAGGTCTCCCATGCGGGTGCAAGGTCCCAAGGCTTTGAGAAACTGTCCTTGACTGCTTTCCCAGGCTACAAGCAGGGAGCTGGATGGGAAGCAGGGCCACTGGGATTAGAACTGGCGCCGATATGGGATCCTGGTGTGCACAAAGCAAGGACTTTAGCCGCTTGGTTACTAAGCCGGACCCTCAAAAATCTTTTTTTAAAACAATGAAAAAACCCCACGAAGCTTCTATTTTGGTGTGGAAAAAATGGCATCCTCATTACAGTGCAGCAGCTCTCACCCAGTTTAGGGTAATCGAGCATACAAAGATGAGATTCTATTCAGCATAACTAAATAAAAATATTATGACTCAACCAAGAGGTTAACTGTCCTCCACTTACACAAAACCTACAGGCCTACAGCATTGGAGCAGATTTCTTCACCACAAGTAATAGTATGCATGGTCTATAGTGAGGGAAGACATGAGATGAAGTGGCAACATAATATAACCACTATAATCATCATCATCAATTATGCTGCTTTCTACAAAGAAGGTGAATACTACTAGACTTTTTTTTGAGCCAGGGAAATACACAAAATACAAATCAGGGAGTAGACAGGCAGATGGAAGCCCTCTGGCTATCCTATCTTTTCTTTCTACTTCTCAAGCACATTTGTAAAAACTATTTTTTAAATTACAGAAATTTATTTTTTCCTTTCATTATTTAAGTGTCTATACAATATCCTCAATTCTCCTTCTTGGCTTGGAAAGTCCGAATACAAGTCCTGGGAGCGGGTGGCAAGTCTGGAGGTGATGATGCCTGCATTACACCCCGGAGAGCACGGACTGCACTCCTGGCCCTCTGGCTAAGCTACCTTGGGAAGTAGGGGAACAAAGCTGCAGCAACGGAGCTCCTGCCTCGCCCCAGGGAAACCTCAAGGCCCAGGTCCAGCTCTTGTGAGCATTCTGGCAGTGAACCAGCAAATGGGAGCTCCCCTCAAATAAAACAGGAGCTAGCACGGTGGCTCAGGAGGCAGTCCCCCACCCTGCAGAACAGGTGATCCATACAGGTGCTGGTTCATGTCCTAGCTGTTCCACTTCCCTTACAACTCCCTGCTTGTGGCCTGGGAAAGCAGTAGAAGAAGGGTCAAAGCCTTGGGACCCTGCACCCACGTAGGAGACCCAGAGGAAGTTCCTGGCTCCTGGCTTCAGATTAGCACAGCACTGGCCATTGCAGCCATTAGGGAAGTGAATCAGTCGACAGAAGATCTTCCTCTCTGTCTCTCCCTCTCTCTGTATACCTGACTTTGCAATAAAAATAAACCAATCTTTAAAAAAAAAAAAATCTGGATGGAAAAAAAAATAGAACAAAACTCAAATAATTGCTGCTTTGTCCTTATCACAAACACTTACTGATCCCTAATTTACAAAGTAAAACGCAAAAAGCAAAAAACAATCTAAAACAGGTATGATTCAGAGAAAAAAAAAACTCAAAACGTTAAAAAATACACAGATATGCAAGCTATATGTTTTTAAAATGCTAGAAGTTGTAACATAAGGAAATAAAAAGTTCTTAGTTTAATTACAAAGTCCCTAATATATAAAGAAAAAGATTAAATAGAGATGTCATGAAAAAGATTCAACAATTTCACATAATTTAAGAACAAGAAAAACTAGAAGAACCTAAACTCTTCTGAAGAATAGCACACTCAGAAAGGAACTAGAATATTTCCATCAGATTTCATTTTTGCAACACTGAACAGAAGAAAATGGAGCAATAACCTCAAAACTAATTCTATCTCATATAAACTATCTGCTATGAAGACAAACTGAAGATGTTTTCAGAAAATGCTATAGAAGAACTGAAGAATTTATCTTCCACACAGTCTGATAAAAAAAAGTTGTGGGCCCGGCGCGGTGGCGCAAGTGGTTAAAGGTCCTCGCCTTGCACCCCCGGGATCCCATATGGGCGCCGGTTCTAATCCCGGCAGCCCCGCTTCCCTTCCAGCTCCCTGCCTGTGGCCTGGGAAAGCAGTCGAGGACGGCCCAAAGCTTTGGGACCCTGCACCCGCGTGGGAGACCCGGAAGAGGCTCCTGGCTTCGGATCGGCATAACATCGGCCCGTTGCGCTCACTTGGGGAGTGAATCATCGGACGGAAGATCTTCCTCTCTGTCTCTCCTCTCTGTATATCCGCCTTTCCAATGAAAAAATAATAAAAATAAATCTTTAAAAAAAAAAAAAAAAAAAAAAGTTGTATGCTGGGCCCGCTAAAGTGGCCTAGCAGCTAAAGTCCTCGCCTTGCACGTGCTGGGATCCGATATGGTCGCTGGTTCTAAACCCGGCAGCACTGCTTCCCATCCAACTCCTTGCTTGTGGCCTGGGAAAACAGTTGAGGACGGCCCAAAACCTTAGGACCCTGCACCAGTGTGTGGGAGACCAGCAAGAAGCTCCTGGCTCCTGACTTCGGATCGGCGTAGCTCCGGCTGTTGCAGTCACTTGGGCAGTGAATCATGGATGGAAAATCTTCCTCTCCGTCTCTCCTCCTCTCTGTATATCTGCCTTTCCGATAAAAATAAATAAATCTTACAAGAAAAATAGTTGTATCCCAAACCAATCAGATATCAAGCCAGAAAGTGATAAAACGATATAATTTACAGTCTCACAGTTATACCAGCAATTGGTTAACGAATGACATGGAAGATTCAAGATACCTACAAAAAAATTATAAAACACTGTTCAGGAAATTTTAGTAAAACACAGAAATTGGACAGTATTCTAAAGACGTCAGTTCTCCCTCACTTGATTTATAGATTCAACGTATTTCAACAGAAACCTCCACCAGAATTTTTCATTTAACTTGACAAACTGATTGTCAAATGTATAAGGCAATGTAGTGTTAAGGACAGCCAGGAGACCAGAAACAGAAACTAGATTACAAAGCTCGCTCAGCAATTCTGAAAACTCATGATGAAGCCGTGCTAACTGGCACGGTGAGATCTCAGAGGGACAGGTCAACAAGAGATGACAGAGTCCAGAAATAAAGGTAGCACTTGTAAGAGTCCCCTCTCTCTAATGCATGATGCTGAATAATCAGACATTTTAACAAGCAAAACAGAATCAGTGCCAACGTCTCACAGGGTGTCCCTATGCATAAACATCAACTGTGCCTGATTCTGCCTGCCTTTAAGTTTACAGGCAAACAATAAGGCGTTTAGAAGACAATGTAGGACAACATTTCATAGTCTTAGGATAGCCAAATACACATAAAAAGCAAAGAAAATTAACAAGTCCAACTACATTATGAAGTTTTTAAAGGAAAAACGTCACTGAGAAGAAGCTAGGCCAAAAAATGTTTCTAAAACCACTCTTATACTGGATAAAGAACTCAAAGAGCGAGCGCAGGTGGGACGAGGGGGTGGCTGCGCTCTGGCCCAGCAGCCTCAGCTGTCTCCTGTGTTGCTGGTCCAACTCCTGTCTGCTCCACTTCCGATCCACCGTCCTCCTAACAGCCTGGGAAAGCAGCAGATAATGGCCCAAGTGCTTGCCTGCCCCTTCCACCCACGCGAGAGATCCAGAAGCAGCTCCTGACTTCAGCCTGGCCCGGGGCCAGCTGCTGTAGCCATTTGGGCAGTGAGCAAATGGATGGAAAATCTTTTTGTCTCTCCCTTTAACTTTGCCTTTCAAATAAATTTTTTTTAAAGATTCATTTGCCAGGAGACAGGAGCTTCTTCTGGGTCTCCCACACAGGTGATGATCAAATAAATAAATATTTAAAGAAAAATCCAATAGGGGAATAAAGAGATATCAACAAACACAAAAAAGGAAACTCAATGCGGAAACATCAAAAAATACTGCCCAAACAGTAGTCAATAAAAATCACAAGAACAAAATTAAAATGAGACATCACAGTACCCCGCAGGAGGTGGTTTTAAAAAAAAAAAACAAAAAACAAGAAGAGTATCATGCCAAGTTTGGACCAATCTGTCATTCACTGCACCTGGGAATACAAGCTGGCAGGACCACTTTGGCATACAGTTTGTTACTTATTAAAGACTCTGTGACCCCAGCAGTTCCACTCCTAGGCCTGTGCAGAGGACGTGAGAGAGAGGACACCAGAAGGAATGCGCCAGCACTGAGCCAAACCATCAGACCAGGAGGCAGCTGCTGGCCAAGGACAACAGAATGGGGTCTAGTCAAACAGTGGGATATTGCACTGCTCTGAAAAGGAGCAAGTATGTCTCTCCACAATACTTACAAATCCTAAAAAAAAAAATAACAATAAATGAAGCCAAATAAAGAGAGGGCACAAGTAGTCCTATTCCATATGAGTGGAGTGCAAAAACAGGCAAGGGAAACTGTATTTCAGAGACTGCTAAGTAAACGGTAAGAGCAGTTCTTAGAGGAAAGGGTGTGTGACTGGTGAAGGCTGTGGCCGGCACTCCTCCCCTCTGGGTGTGCCCAGTGTTTACCTGGATTTCTCTTGGAACTGAACTGGTCCAAGATAATCACAGGCCCAGGCTATATACACTAAGGCTGCTGAAGTCAGCAAATCAAAAATGTTTCACAATTTTAAACAAGGAAAGAAGTTTTTAAAGTAAGTTTATAATCTAATTCAGAAATAGAGAAAATCAAAAACCTTTTAGGAGGTTGGCACATTATCTGACTACCACTGAGGGGAAAATCAGGACAAGACCAATACTAAAAACGGTTCATGTAAAATGATATTTTTAAAAAGTGCAACCAACTTTTCTCGATACAAGTCACTGGTTTCCAAATGCAACCAGGATTCCTTAATTTTTCACAATTTATTCCTATCTGTTTTTTTCAGTATGCCAACTAATCTTACTTTTTGGGGGATTTGCTCACTCTCCAGTTTTACTCCCCATTTTATTTTCTCTTCTTGTGTTTCTTCAGTGTCTGAATCATCTACTTCATCATCGGTTCTGTAGCAAAAACATCAAATAACATTAAACAGTTTGTTCAATGTGAAAAACACAGCACAGCATCACAATCGGCTGCTTTGGCTTAGCTTCAATTTGTGCTCAAAGAAATTCTGAATTCACACTCTACTGCAAACACCTCAGATAAGTAACGTATAAAAACACAATGAATATAAATGTCAATGCCTATGCATTGCTCATAAAACAGAAATTTTATTTTAAGAAATTACTTTTAAAAAAACAGATTTACTTGAAAGGCAGAGCTACAGAGAGTGGGAGATACAGATCTTCCATCTGCTGGTTCACTCCCTAAAGGCAGGTAAGGTCTGGGCAGGACCAGGCAGAGGCCAGGAGCTAGGGCCTCTATCCAGGTCTCCTATGTGACTGCAGGAGCCCAAACACCCAAACACTTGGGCCATTCATGCCCCTCAAGCCCTCCCACATTGCTTTCTCAGGTACATCAGCAGGGGGCTCTATCACAACTGGAGCGGCTGAGATCCAACTGGCACCCAAATGAGGTGCTGACACCACAGGCAGTGGCTTTACTCTCCATACCACAGCAGCAATCCAAAACTGAAATTTTAAATTATAATATTCAGGAATTAACAGGCACATAACTCATTTATCCATCATTCTATTCAGTACTATATACCAAATATCAGGCTCTGGCCTTACATCCTGGATATAAAAAGACACAAAAAGACACTCTTAGCCCAACCTACTACTGAGAGCTTTCTAGCTACTTTTGGAGGGGAAAAAAAAACAATTTCCATCTTAACAGGCGTTTACATGAGAAACCTAGATGTGTGGGCCACAGCCTTTCCGAATGTAATAGATCCTGTAAAATAGAGGATATTTCAGGTAGAGTAAGCTCCCTCCCGAGGTGACTGGACAAACACACTCAACTGTGAAGACAAATAGTTTCCACACTCACAGGAATGAGAAGTGGACTATGCAAACATCATTGAGAGTAAAGGTAAGGGTAAACCCAAGAAGGATGAAGATGGGAAATATAAGGGCTAAAGACACAGAGGGCCAGGCCCAGCGTAGTGGCCTAGCAGCTAAAGGCCTCACCTTGCACACACCGGGATCCCATATGGACACCAGTTCTAATCCCGGAAGCCCCGCTTCCCAGCCAGCTCCCTGCTTGTGGCCTGGGAAAGCAGTCACGGACAGCCCAAAGCCTGTTTCTACATGGGAGACCTGGAAGAAGCTCCTGGCTCCTGACTTTGGATCAGCTCAGCTAGGGCTGTTGAGGCCACTTGGGGAATGAATCAACGAATGGAAGATCTTCCTCTCTTGTCTCTTCTCTCTGTATATCTGACTGTCCAATAAAAATAAAATCTTAAAAAAAAAAAAAAAGACACAGAGGGGCCACCAAAACCAGCATCTCAGTAAGCTACAAGCTTTGGCCTATACAATAATACAAGTCACACGCCAGACAAAAGCAAGGACGAGGCAGTAGGGTCATTCTCCAGAGACTGGAGAGACCGCCAGCCCTGACGGAAGCTGAGCAGTGGCTCAGGCTGCTCTCAGCATGACAGGCACTCAGCCTTCACAGCTCCTGCGAATCGAGCCATTTATACTGATTCCAGATCTCCGCAGCTACATCCACCCGTGGAGGATGAGGTGGCACGTGGACAGAAACCCCGAGGATAAGAAGCTAAAACCCAAACACTTGTGAGCCTTGCCTGCTCTGGTTCCCAGTTATGAACAAGCTCTCCTGCAGCCCAGCAGCACCTGTGGCACCGGTGGTGCTTGCTCAGTGCTCCTGGGCTGGCTGCTGCTCCAGGCACTTCCCGCCCAACCACGCCAACCCTCTCTCTACATACTACAGGGGCTAAAGAGCCACTTTATAGACGGAAAACTAAGTTACAGAAAAGTCATCGAATTTACCACAGCTAGTAAGTGCAGTAACCTGGAAATCAGGTGGGGCTCCCAAGCCTGTGCCCTGCCAAACCATGTCCCATTGTTTTCCACTGCCAACTCCACAATTCCCAGTCTTCACATCCCTCAACCTCTGAGCAGGAGGCTTCACACTGTCGGGCCTCTGCTCCCGCCACACATGGAGGGGGCTCTCAGCTCTCCCCTCCCTGGCTGTTACTTCTCAAGTCTACAGTATTGGTTCTTCATCCTCACAACCCCCCAAAAACACAATCCTCAAACCCACCCCTCGTTTGTGTAGTTGCTTACTCTGGTGATCTAGTTCATAATGCCATAGGCAAACAACAAACTGGAAGTTCCTACTCAATAAGAACCCTGGACCTTTGCTACACATAACTTTAATATTTAGTTATTATTTACCTATTTGAAAAGCCGTATGAAAAAACAGAAAGAAACCTTTCACCCGCTGGTTCACTCTCAAATGGCTGCAACTGCCAGAGTCAGCTCAGCTCCGGTCGTTGCGGCCACTTGGGAAGTGAACCAGCAGATGGAAGATCTCTCTCTGTATCTCCTTCTCTCTGTATATCTGCCTTTCCAATAAAAACATATAAAAATCTTTAAAAATTTTTTTTACTCTCATTCTACCAGAATCAGAGACATATCCCTGGAAGGGGAAATAAAGGAATAAATGATGTGAGTCAAGGGTTCAGCTTAGGGCAACTGAGTTAGGGCTGGAGTGCGGTTTTTAGCATCTCATATTAATAGAGTCAATGTACAGCAGAATTATAAATAAGTTTTATGGGAATCCAAAAAGATCAGTGCCGCCGGCACAGCAGTTCTACGTCTTTTCCAAACCAATTATATTAATACGCATACCATAATAAAATATATCATATATGCAATACATTACACATAATTTATTGATTTAATGAATATATTAATTGGTTGTTGAGATGTTCTGTATTACATATATTTATATGGTATAAAGTATATTATACATCAGGTTATACATATTATTATAATACATAATTATTATATTCTAAGCAGGACAGAATATAACCGGTGTTGCTCAATCCCGGTTCTTGGAGACGCGCAGACAAGCGCTCCTCTACCGTTTAACGAACTCCCGGCTCGGTCCTTTCCAGGAACAGAGAGCCTGGCGTCCAGCTGCCAGCGCAGGGGGCTCCCCTGGAGGCGGACACAGAAGGGCAACGAGAACCCCAAGAAGGGTTCCGCTACCCTGGGGTGCGGAGTAGACGAAAAGGGGGTGTGGTATAACGCGCACCCTGCAGCTGCAGGAGGTCCCGGGGGGGCCCCGCAGAAGGACGGAGAGGTTCTGGGGGGGCCTGCACAAGGACGGAAAGGACCCGGGGTGCCCTGCACAAGGACAGAGAGGACCCGGGGTGCCCTGCACAAGGACGAAGAGGGGGCGCCCCACTGGGGGAACCCTCCATTCCAGAAGGGAAAGCCGTGGGCTCACCTTTCTTCAGGGTCCGAGGACTGTTTCTTGCCGAGGGCCGGGTTGGGAGGCTTTGAGAAGAGATTCTCGAAATCCATGCCCGCGCTGAGGGCTTTCCTGCCGCCAGACCTACACTGCACTACACAGCGTGGATGCCGCAGCTCCGCCCCGCGCACGCGCTCTGAGTCCCGCGCAGGCGCCGCGCCGCACTCCGCCATTGCGCACGCTCGGCCTCGCGTCGCACGGGCGCTGCGCAGGCGCCCTGTGCTTTTGGATGCTGTCTCCTTTCTTTGACGCTAGTGAAAATTCCCGGGTAGAAACCATAGGGCTTCCGGAATAGTCGTTGCAGAGGTTACTTTTACTGGAGCACTCTCATGCTCAGAAAATATCGTTCCAGGGTGCGGCGCTCTGGCGTTGAGCGTTAAGCCGCCCCGGGGCAGGATGGTTGCAGGTTCGAATCCCGGACGCTCCGCCTAACACTCAGCTCCCTGCGAATGCGCAGGAAAAAGCAGAACTAGAGAACCTGGGTGCCTGAGGGCCTTGCCACCCACGAGGGAGACCTGGGGAAAGCTCCTGGCTTCAGGACACGGGCGCCTGAGGGCCACGCCACCCACGAGGGAGACTGGGGGAAGCTCCTGGCTTCAGGAGGCTGTTGTGGTCACTATAGAGTGAATCAGCGCCTGGAAGACCTCTCCTCCCTCTTTCTCTTTAACTCCACCTTTTAAATAAATAAGATTAAAAAAAAGATTGTTTCAAAATTTAGCTGCAGCTAATGTCATCCCTGTATGTACTCATAGGTTTTCTATGTGCTGTTACTATTTTTAGAGGAATAAACAGAAGTAAATAACAGGACAGGTAAGTTTTCGGGTATGTACAGTTGATTAAAGCTAGAGAGAATTGTATGAAATCAGGAAAATAGAGCATACATTTAGAAAACAAGGGGTTTTTTTTTAGACTTATTTTTATTAGAAAGGCAAATTTCACAGAGAGGGTCTTTTATCCGCTGGTTCTGTCCCCAAATGGCCACAGTGCCCAAAGCTGAGCCAACTTGAAGCCAGGAGAATTCCAGCCATCTTCTGCTGCTTTCACAGTCATAAGCAGGGAGCTGAATGGAAACTGGAGGAGCTGGCACATGAACCAGCGCCCAAATGGGGTAATGGTGCCTGAAGGTGGAGAATCAGCCTGTTGAGCCATATCACCGCTCCCCACCCCCCAGTCTGCATGTCTGGGAAAGCTTCCATCAGGAGGCAGTGCCAGGAGCGCAGCCCGTGAGCTCCACTGTGCGAGGCAGGCGTCACAACCTCTCAGCCTAACACCCATTCTCAGGACTTGTGTTCTAGACTTGAAGATATTAAACATTTAAAATAATGAAAGAGAAAATAAATTTTTTTAAAGATTATTTTTATTGTTATTTTAAAGGCGGAGGATATACAGAGAGGAGAGACAGAGAGGAAGATCTTCCGTCCGATGATTCACTCCCCTAATGGCCGCAACGGCCGGAGCTGAGCCAATCCAAAGCCAGGAGCCTCTTCTGCATCTCCCACGCAGGTGCAGGGGGCCACAGGCAGGGAGCTGGATGGAAAGCGGGACCACCAGGATTAGAACCAGTTCCCATATGGGATCCCGGGCATGCAAGGCGAAGGCCTTAACCACTGTGCCATCACACCGGGCCCAAGAAAATAAATTTCTGCAACTTAAAAAAGAATTAGCAGCAAACTGAACTGGAAGTGGAGCAAGTGGGCCTCGAACCCCAGCATCCATCTGGGATGCCAGCATCGCATCATTATGTTATAGCACTGGCCCCACCACATTTTGCTATCCATTCATGAATGTGGAATGGATAAACTGTTGTAACTCATGCTGTAATGAACAAGTATAAATGTTAAATGTTGCAGAGTGCGTGGGAGACCTGGAAGAGGCTCCTGGCTTCGGATCGGCTCAGCTCCAGCCATTGCGGCTGCTTAGGGAGTGAACCATCAGACAGATCTTCCTCTGTCTCTCCTTCTCTCTGTATATCCGCCTTTCCAATAAAAAATAAATAAATCTTTTTTTAAAAAGATGATGATGATGACTGTATAACAGTGTGACTGTAATTGTTGCCCCTGAACTGTAAACTCAAAAGTGACTGAAATCACATGGCAATTAAGTATTGCCACAATAACAGAAAGAATGGGGTTGGCATGATACGATGCTGGAATGACTTCTTTCTTGAGGACTTAGTACAGTGTTAGTGAGGTGTAATATCTTATGAATATGTGCTACAAATCAACAATCACCCACCCTGGGATCCAAAGGGTGAAAAAAAGAGTAAAGCTTTGTTGTATTTCCCTTGGTGATGTATTAGATGGTCTTTGTTTATTCCTATTCCTACAACTCTGGGATCTGCTAATTGAGTGCAGTTTTCAATCTCGGTGTCATGCTCCTGGGTTGGAACAGACTTGTGCCATGTTGGATGTTCAACAGCATTTCTCAGCATTTCTGATTTTTTCCACTAGATGTCACCTGCCGGAGTCCAGCTCCAGCTGAGTTCTGAGCTCGAGAAGGGTGCGTGAAGTAGGCGTAGAAAGAAGAGACGGACCACTACAATTCCAACATCATTGTGGACCACGCGAGAAAGCTGTCCGCTTTATTTATACAGAAGCAGTACACAGTCTTTTTTAGGGCATTTTGACATAGCTTCAAGGGGGGCACAATTTACAACTGCTTGAGAGGCGAGTGAGGGAGAACCCCACATTCTTTGCTTATCTTGGCTTGCCAGCCCCTACTTACTTCCCTCAAGTCTGGGTCCCATCCTTGGCGCTGTCTGTGACAACCAGACCCCTACCTTGAATTATGCATGGGAAAAGGGCTGAGAACTTGGTTTATGGGGATTAGGGTATTGGCACCAAAGGTCATTAGGTCTGCAGGCCCACACAGTTTGCTAACTAAGCAAGAGTTACAACGACGGAAGGAACTGCAATTAGCAATGAGCCATGTTTACTCCATTTAGGTTTCTGCTCTACAATGGGCAAGTAAATGTTTCCAAAGACAACTCTACAGATAGTTTCACCTTAAGACAGGGCATTATCCATTCTGATGTTGCAGCCAACATTTTCTCAGTAGACAACACATCTTATTCAGTAATACATTCCTACTACAATTCTTATTCTATAACTTATCCATCACTTAATGAGAGAAATACATTAAAAGAGAAAAAATATAAAAATCTAAGACAAAAGTTTCAAACATTAAATCCCTCTACAATTGTAGGCTCTACAACCTCATAAATGATCAAACAATAATCAAAAGTATACATGATGTTAGTAAAGTCACCCTATATTTCCTCTAGTTAAAAATTATGAAGGCAGCCAAAGCAACTACATTTACTATGTTCTAAAGAGTTGAGAGTTGTAAGGACAGGCTAACCTTTAAGGTCACAGTAGCTATATTTTGCCATAGCAAGATAGCCTTTAGGATCACAGTAACTATACTTTTGCCATAGCAGGATGGCCTTTTGGGGTCACAGTAATTATAACAGGATAACCTTTAGGGTCCCAGTAACAGGATAGCTATATTTTTTGTCATAGCAATTTCAACCTATACTCCCATCACTTCCATTAGTTTGTGAAACTCTTATCAGGCCATTTCCCAGAAAGTATGCTAAATATTTGGGCCAGATCTCAGAGCAATGGGTAGGCACACAATAAGGTGTCTGGAAACAGCATGGGCTTGATTGTACTCCTGTGCGCAGTTAAAAGCCCACTCACCAAGACATTATCAGTAACATTAACTTTTAAGCTCATGTTGGTTGTAAAAGCCATCTCACAGGGGCAAACTATGCCTAATAGATTGCAGAATTCTTAGTGGGGTGGTTGAGTGTCCATGCAAACAGGGGGTGAGACTGCATCAAGGTGGTCAGAGAGAAATCCGCCGGGCCCTGCCAAACAGCTGTAAGCTCCCCCAGGCCCTGCCAAGCAGGGGAGCTGTTCTCTTCACACCTTCGTGTCATCCATACCTACTGCACAGACCCCAGCAGTCACCTGTTCCCCGGTTGTTGCAACCAAGATCATCTCCAAACACTGAGGGGACAGAAGTGGCCTTAGTTAAGAACCTCTGGTTTAGTCATCTGTTACAAAAGTGGAAATGCCTCCATCAAGCAAATGACAATGGAAGACTGCTGTCTGTTTTTCTGCTTCTTTCTCTCTCCAACTTAGCCTTTCAAATAAAAACAAATCTTTAAAAATAACAAAATAAATATAATGACATAGTAAGTTAGAAGACTGGGAAAGATACACCATACAAACCTTGAACCAATGCAATCTGGAGTGATCACCTCACCTTGAATACACGAGAATCCCATATGGGTGCTGGTTCTAGTACTGGTAGCCCACTTCCCATCCAGCTCTCCGCTTGTGGCTTGGGAAGGCAGTTTTGGACAGCCCAAAACCTGGGACCCTGTACCCACATGGGAGACCCCAAAGAGGCTCCTGATTCCTGACTTCGAATTGACTCAGCTCTGGCACTGCGGCTACTTGGGGCATGAATCAGCGAACAGAAGATCTTCCTCTCTGTCTCTTCTTGTCTATGTATATCTGACTTTCCAATAAAAATAAATAAATAAATCTCTTTTTTTGTAGGGGAATCAAGTTTAATTAGCTTGCAAAATTTCACCAACATGTAGGAGAGATAGCAGTAAAAGATACATGAAGAATTGTTTAAAAATTTTAAAAGATGACAAACCTAGGTGGGAAGATTTGCAAGTAGCCTTGGGTTCTTTTCAGGATAGGGGAGCAATAGAAGAAAGTGTATATAATTCAGGGTAGGTATGCCTTGTGCAGGAAACGTAACTGTGAGTCTAGTACATGGCACAGAATCAATGATGAGAATTCCTGTCTGGTATAAGAAAACACAGAAGCTCCAGGTTGCTCCCCAGCATCCCCATAATATCAGCTCCAAGCCAGCTCCAAGCCAGAAAACAACTGTTTTCTGCCACTCTCCCCACTGAATGCATTCACTTCCTTTATCTGGCTTTCTCCCACACATTGTTTATTTTTTAAAAAAAGTTTTTTAGCTTCTTTTGTATAGGTTTTTTTTTTTTAATTGTATTGCATTATTTGACACAGTGTTACAGGCACTGGGATTCCCCCCCACCCCTCCCCGAACCCTCTCCCCATGGTGGATTTCTCCACCTTGTTGCATTAC